CACTTGGCTCCGTGGGATGCTGGCATTCCTAGCCCTGCTTTCCCTGCCGGGCGAAAGGTCGGCTCCCAGCTGCTTCCTCCATGTCCAGCAGGGGGCCCTCGAGCCCGAGTCCCACCCTGGTTGCCCAAACAGCAGCTGGCAGGTCAGAGGCGGCCCTGCGAGTCCCACAGTTGGGATGCCCCCCCCCCCGCCCCCGTTCTAAAGCCACCAATGACTTTGTGAACAATGGACTCAGAAGTTAATTTTAAGAATGTTAGATAGACGGCATACACACAAAGGAAGTTGCAGAAGAGGCACATCGGCTGTACTGGATAAGACCGAGATCGAACAATGTGGATTTAAAAATGATGAGCTAACAATGATAAGGAAAACATATTTATATTAGACATTCAAATGAAACTGATTGACATGTTAATAATTAAATGGACATATGAATAACAAACAAGAAGAGTGATTTGGATAATGTTTCTGTACTGGATTTATTTTAAAAAATAGGTATGTAGTTATGTCTGCTAACCTTTAATGGACTTTTGCTGTACCAGGAATAATGTATTAGGGTTCTGTTTATGATTAAGAGATGAGAATGGGAAGAAAGGGTTTGCTGTATTTTAAGAGAAGGTGATGTTATTAAAAAAATGTAGTTCTTGTGATAAGGGGAAGTTACTTCTTTATGTTACTTTTTTCCTCTCCTGCCCTGTTTTCTGCACTTGTTTTTTCTTTTTATTCTCAGATTGCTGGAAGTACCACTAGGAATTATAATCTAACAGATAAAAACTCTGTTAAATTGTAATTTCTAGTGGTACTTCCAGCAATTGCTTTAGCTTTCTCTGTCTTGTTGAGCTTCCTCTCCTGGCCACCAGGGGGCAGCAATGCAGAGCAGGCAGGACCAAGTAGGATGGCATTCATCTTTCTCAACCTTAAATAAAACCACTCCGTTTTGCATGCAGAAACTAACCCTCTTCTGGGATGGCGAGCAGAAGGGAATAGCTCTTCCTCTGCCCCAGGTCAAAGGAGGGTTTCGAAGCCAAGACTGCACACCGAATTGGAGCTGGAGGGGGGCCTCCGATATCATTGCCCCAGACAAATGGCTGCCCAGCCCCCTTTGGAAAACCTCCAGCGGTGGAGCAGCCCAGGAGACGAGCTGATCTCCCTGTCCAAAAACTTCTCCTCCCTTCTAGGTTGCCTCTCCCATCCCTCCTCCTGCCCTCTGGTGCCCTGCAGGATAAGTCCATCCCCTCTTTTGAGAGCCAGTCTGGGGACAAGATGGGCAAAGGGAGGCTCTGGTCCAAATCACCGAGTGACTTTGTTTCAGCTCAACTGAGCTCACAGGGATGTTGCAGGGAGAAAATGAAGCGTAAGCGCTATTCATGCTATCTTGAGCTTTGGAGAAAAGGAGGGATGTAAATCAGGAAAGAAAATATTGAAATTTGGCAATATGCCTGCTTCTGCTTCTTAGAGCATGGGTGGCTCTGGGGGTGAATTTTAAAGCATCTCTTGCGCCGGCACCCTTTTCTTTCTGAGGGGAACTCTTGGGGTGAGACACAGACGGAGGGGTCCAGTCCTTTGGACCCTGCTGGATCCCTCAACAGGTCAAGATAGAATTGACTGAGGCATCTTCTGGGGCCCCCTGCAAGGTTGGGGGCTGGAGGCATCATTCCACAACAGTGGCAGTGGTGATAGCTGTGGTTGTTTGTGTAGCTTAGTTCTGGCTCTTCTTATGTAGAGACCTTGAGTTAACAGGAGAGGAAGGAATGGATGCGGCATTGGCCACCCGTTCTGGGGCACCCAGGACTCTCCCAGACTGCTTAACAGGGCTATGCAGCTGCTGGGAGAGGTGGTCCTTTAGCCGAGGGCCGGGTCTCCTGGGGATGGAAGTAGATAGAGCTGCTGCTGGTGGGTGGAGCCGAAGGAGAGGCCCCAAAGATGGGAGAAGCCCAATGGCAAGAATCCAATCTACCAGCAGCTGATGGTCATCAGTCCACATTTATTTATTTGTATCTTGCCTTTTTTATTTCTATACATAGTTCAAGGTGGTGAAGGTATCCAGCACATCTTCCTCCTCCTCTTTTCCCCACCACAACCCCCCTGTGAGTGGTAAAGACCCCTTTTGGCTTCTCTCAGTGTCAGTTTTTCCCTTGAATATTGCTGTGGGAGTTGAGGCTTGCTTGCCACATAGGCCTGGGAGTTGAAAAAGGCTTCTAGGAAGGGAAGGGCAGGAAGGACCCTGGGCTCGCTGCCCCTGGCTCATCTTGCCCGGGCACTCCTATGCAGACCAGGCCCCCTTTGAGGGAAGCAAGAGCTGGGCAAGAGCTGGGCAGAAGGGACACCTCAGGAGCACCCTGGCAGGGCAGGAGAAGAGCCAGGGCAGCTCACAGGAGGCTCCCCTCTGCTGCAGGAGGGAAGACGGAGGCTTGCTTCAGAGAAGCGGGCTCAGCTGCGAAGGCCATCTTGCTGTGGTGCCAGCTGTCGCCAGGCGTGCCAGCCCTCCCTGGTACTGTGGGCTGCTTGTCTGAGGCAAAGGCTCCAAAACAATTGACCATTCTCTAAAGCTGGCATCTGACCAGGAGGAGGAGGAGGCCCGACCCTTTCGCCCTCCTGTCCTGGTGTCCAGAGGGTGTCAAAGAAAGGAGAACACAGAGCTATGTTGGTAGAAGAGGGTGTAGGAGGGGCTGTTCGCAGCATCATCTTCAAAGGAGACCTCTTTCTCCTGCCAGGAAGAGTCCTGGGCAAGCAGTCCTGCCGCTTGGCCTTCTCTCCAGCAGCCCCTCTTTCTGTGTTTGGCCCTTGGTCAGCCAGGAACCAACAGGGTGGTTCAAAGCTCTCCATGCCTCCATTTTCCCAAGGTCTGGGGAGAGAGAATTCACTGTCGCTCCATCTCTGCTGTGGAAAGGAAATGTTGCCTTCAGGAGCTCAGAGCCACATCAGGCCCCTTCTTGGCATAACTTGCGCAGCCTGGAGCAACAGTCTCACCAGCCTGCAGGCAGAAATCAACCAAGAAAGCTTCAAGGATGCAAGGAGGTTGCACCTACACCAGCCAGTTTCAGAAGCGGCAACCCCAAATCCCATCCTCCTAAGGCTGGGAGCAGTTTTCTGCCCATGAGGGGTTAGGCAGCTCAGATCTGGCTCCTGGTCTAGGCACTCCTTGCCACTTTGACAGTGGGAGTCTTTTCCCAATTGAAAAAAACAACAACTTGAAATAAAATCCCCGCAGCACTTTATTTCTACAGGAAAAGCAGAGTGGTTTAGAAATACATTGTTTTCAAACTCTCATTTGGTGCTCGTAGGTGACGGGAACGGGAACCGTTTCTACTTGGCAAACCGTGCAGGCAGACAAGCTACAGCTTTCTCCGGGAAATGGACAGACATTGCTCTCAGCTGCTGGATCTTCCACTTCTGGGAAAACCACACTCACAAGTGGGAAGATACATGTCTGGTCAGCAAACTGGAAAGTAGCAGGGAAGAAAAAAGTGGTGCGGCTCAGGTAGAGGCACCGCAGTGAGCTGAGGAGATGGGGAAGGAAGGGGCCACCAGGCAGAGTTCAGGCTGGCTGCCAGCCTCAGCCCCATTGGACTTCAGGGCCCCGAGGGTGCACTGCGAGGCCTGGGCTGCTCCTGTGGCATCTATTTCAGCTCCAGTGCAACCATTGCCCCTTATCTTCTTTGGCCTTTCAAAGGGGCCCTTCCTTCCTCACTGCTGTTGTTCAACTGTCACACTTCAGGAGTTTTGGCATGTCTTTTTCAGGTATAAGATTGATTTCTTAGGCAAAATGCAATTTTCCTCATCAGGAAGGTGAGGGCAGGAATGGTGAGATTTCCATGGCTCCTGACCTTAATCTCTGTCTTGGCAGCTTCGTTAAGATCTGCCAATAAGCTTCATCCTGCTTGGTAGAGGCTGCCTCAGCCCCAGGGCTGGATCTTAAAGTCCAACCATTTGGGGTGGGGGCCTTCCGCTCCTGCTCTTTCTTGGCAGCCCACCCAGCTGCTCCTGCTCTGTAGGGCCTCTTGCAGCTGAAGCTCTGCGTGCCAGGGAAAGGGAGGAACTTGAGGGGCGGACTTCGGAGTGAACCCATCAGGGCCACCCGGGAGGCAAAGGGCACTTCTAAAATAACTGCTCCACACAGCACATAACGCTGCTCTGACTGGCACTCGGGCAGCTCCGGAGCCAGTAAGCAGTGACCGAGCTGCTGAGAGCTGTGCTCTGAGAGGGAGGCCAAACAAATGTTTTCCAGCCTACATTTCGTGACGTGGCTCCCCCCTTGGCCTATAAGCCCCTGGTTCAGGCACATCTCTCAGGCTTGTGGATCATTTCTCCCTTCATCTCGAGCAGCCCTGGATTTCCTGGCCCTGCGATAGCTCAGTGCCTGCACGTTCCCACCGCAATTAGCACAGCCACGTGGGGAGAAGCTGCTCCCGGTGCCTGCCCCAAACCCTTCTGGGAGGGCTCTGAGGGGGCCTAATCCAGGACCGGTTGCCCCTTCCCTGAGCCATTTGGGAAAAATGCTGAACGCTGAACTGTGTCAGAGGATATTCTAGCCGGGCTCTGCTTTTATTCCTGTTTCCTCTCTGGGTTGTATTCTGTTAATTACTGCCTTAAGGGTTTGCAACTGTTACCTGTGGAGAGTTGTTTGACTGCTGTGATCATAAAGAAGCATGCAAGGCTGCTGCCAGGGGCCTGAGAGGGCGAGAGGGCGGATGGCACAGCTCTGGCAGAGGGGAGCTAGGCGGCTCCGCTGTGGCCTGCAGGGGCCCCTCTCTCTTAGCGGGCTTGGGGGGGGTGATGGGTGAGGCGATGGGGCTGGGTTTGTGCACCTCCACCTGGCTACAGGTGGAGCTGTAGGCTAGTCCGAGGGCTGGCAATGAATGGAGCAACCATGGCCAATGTATCAATGACTGCAAATAGGAAAGGGGCCCTGGGGGCTCCCTCCTTTGCCCAGACCACCCACGGTCTCCCCTGGAAGGGATGCTGGTCACAGCCACAGATCACACCTGGGGGGCAGGGGAGGCTCATGGTGCAATTCAACAGGACTGTGACAGGCCTGGACGCCGGGCTGGTCCAAAATTGAAGACCTGCAAGTGGGCTGCCTGGAGTCCCATTCCTGACTCTGGCTGCAGGCCTGGACTGGCAGGTGAGGAGGACCGAGAGAGCGCAGGCCGAACAGGGGCAAAGCCCGCGTTGCAGCTGCTCAGAAGTCGACGCCCTCTTGGGCTGCATGAAGAGCAGCTGTGTCCAGACCACAGCAGGCAATTGTTCCACGGTGCCCGCTGCCGCTTTGCAAAGTGGGAAAGGGGGGCAGCGGGGGCTTCAGAGGGTCACTCCCTCCCAGGGCCATCGGGGCCACCAGGAGCCAAAGCCCTGCCGGAAACTCTTAGAGCAGCTGCACATCTTTGGCTTCAGCAGACCACAAAAGCTGCTCTCGGAGGGATTTCCTCTTGGGAATTGCTGCAAAGTGATGTGAGACTCTTGCAGGGATGCGCTCCCCTTGGGGGGGGGGTTCCAATAGGAGCTGGACCCCCGTAAGGGAAAGCTGGGCAGGGAGGGTAGCCTGGGTGGCCCAAAGCTGCTTTTTCACCCGTCAGTTCCTTAATTCTTCCAAGGCTTCCTGGACCTCAAGCACAACTCTAGAAAAGAAAGGCGCCCACCCCCCAGTGCTCCTCCTTATGAAATACAGCCACCCCAAATCCTATCATGCTCAGCAGTGGTGCATGTCCCATACCTTTCTTTTGCAAACCTGAGCCTTATGCAAAGTCTGCCAAATTTCTCAGCGTGGCATTTGGGAAAGGAATCAAGGCGTGTCTGTCCTCCAGCCCAGAAGCTCCCAAGGAAGCCACCAGCAAGGCAAGTCCCACCACTTGGGCTTCAAGGGGCCGCTTGGTGCAGCACTCGGTAGAGCACCCAGTAGAAGATGTTGAAGAGCAGGAAAGCGAAGGGGAAGACGGCCCGGGAGACGGTGTCGATGCGCTTGGCCCGCTCCATGTAGCGCCTCCGGAGCATTTCTCCTTCCCGCAGGAGGGAGGCTGGCGCGGGCGGGCTGCAGGTGGGGCTTTCCACGGCTGCCCCACTTTTCATGCGCTGCAGGCAATGGCCCAGTCCATAGCCCTGGAAGTAGAAGCGGCTCTCACGGACCACCTCTTCTTCCTGGCGGGAGGGAAGAGTAGGAGGGCTGTCGGCTGTTGGTCAGGCTAAGACGCCAAGGTCACACGGCTCAGGGCTACCTTGGTTGGCTGCCAGTTGGACCCGCTTTCCCTCCCCTCATCTTGCCTCTTGTGGCTGGGGGAGGAAAGTGGGAGCCTTCCTGGAGTTCTGTTCCTGGCCTCCGGGGCTCCAGTCCCCGATCTCTGGGTTGCCCTGGCAGAGGCTCTTCTTCCCCTCCTTCAGGACTTCTCTCCCCCCCCCCACCCCTGGCTCTGTCTGTGCACTGCAGGGACACATTCAAGGCTGCAAGTCGGCAGGTCCATGTTCCAGGCCAAATTATTTCCTCTGTGAGTGGCTCACTATTCCTAGCACCCTCGGATGCCCTCACAGGAAGCCCTTTTCTCACATGCTCCCTCCTTTTACCCTGGTCTTCTGGATGCACAAAGCACCCACTTCCACTGCATCCTTGCTGCCTGGTGGGGAAGGGTTGGGGGGGAATTGGCCCAGGTTGCCTGCACATCCCCCCTTCAGTGTGGAACTGAGAAGGGCAGCACCACACGGGGAGCACAAGACGCCGCTGGGTTTATCCGGTTCCCAGGCTGCCCCTGGAGTCCAAAGTGCTGAAGGCAGAGCAGCAGAGCCTCCTTTGCCCATATACCTTTGCTCTGCCAGCTTCCAAGGCACTTCCATGTCCCGCCCCCCAGCCTCTGAATGCCAGCTCCCACCTCCTGCTCCATGGATTGGGGCTCTGCCCTGGGGCTGCTCAGCTCAGCACTCTCACTTGCCACCCTCTTTTGTGGAACGGGGCAGCCTTCTGCAGGAAGAGGCTGGCCAAGGGCTCTGCTTGAAACTGGCGCCTGCAGCTGGTTGATCGAGCACCAGAGGGCAGCTCCCTTCTCCTAGCAGAGGCTGAAAAGGCACAGCAGCTGCCAGGGGGAAGAAGCGCAGGTGGGCCGGGGCAGACCCCAGGGGAAGCCCCCTTGCCTTCTCAGAAGGCGTCAGCAGAGGGCCTGCCCAGCACGCTGCCTTCCTAAACTGGTGCGGCCTTGAGCATCCCTGAGGCTGGGCGAGGGGCAAGACGAGGGAGGAGCCCAAGCCAGGCCAGCACCAGAGAGGGCCTCCTCTAGGAACCACTTGTTTGAAGAGATGCTGTCCAAAGCACCAGCTGTTTCTGACAAGGGGGGCGGGGCTCGGCTTCATGGGGGGGCTTCCCCCTCCACTTCCAACCAGTCCCAGGGCATGCAGGGAGCACCGGGCCTATTATCTGCCCCCAGAAGCCCCCCTGCCCAACCCTTGCTCACCATCCTCTGCCGCCGTTGGCTCCGCCGTAGACGCAGGAGTTCCTTATGCTGGCGCGAGACAAAGTTGACCGCCGCATATTCCAGCAGGGCGGCAAAGACGAAGAGCAGACAGACGGCCATCCAGATATCAATGGCTTTGACGTAGGAGACCTGCCGAGGAGAGGGGCATGGGCAAGAGGCTCCCAGCCTCTAAGCAGCCCCCTCCCCAAGGTCAGCACTGCCTCCCACAGTTCAGACTATCTGCTTCTGTTGCAGGAAACGGTGCAGAGAAGAGCAACGAAGAGGATTAGGGGACTGCGGGCTAAAACGTATAAAAGAACAACTTCTGGAATTGGATACGACTAGTTCAATGAAAAGAAGAAGGACGTGGGGAGACATGATAGCAGGGTTTCAATACCTCCGGGGTTACCACAAAGCAGGAGGAGTCAGGCTATTCTCCAAAGCCCCTGAGGACAGGACAAGGAGCAGTGGGTGGAAACTCATCAATAAGAGAAGCAATCTAGAAGGAAGAACAATTCATCAGTGGAACTGCTTGCCTCCAGAAGATGTGCTCCAACACTGGGAGTTTTTAAGAAGAGATTGGACAACCATTGGTCTGAAATAGTATAGCGTTTCCTGCCTGAGCAGGGGGTTGGACTAGAAGACCTCCTAGGTCCCTTCCAACTCTGTGATTCTGCTCTGGTCTAAATTTGCAAGCTAGCTAGCAGTAACAGGCAACACCCCAGAAGACAGGCTCAAGATCTGGTGATGAGAAAAGGAGGGTCTTATATTTAGGCAAGAGGAGTCAACCTAGAATAGGTGATACCTGCCTCCACAGCAATAACGGGGGGTGGGTGGGGGGTGTCTTGGAGTCCTAGTGGACAACCACTTCAATGTGAGCCAGAATGTGCTGCAGCTGCAAAAAGGCCAATGCAGTCCTAGGCGGCATTAACACAGGGATGGCATCAGGGTCACATAAAGTACTAGGGCTGCTTTATGCTGCACAGGTAAGACACTGTGTCCGATTTTGGTCAACGCATGAGAAGGATATTGAGACTCTGGACAGAATGCCGAGAAGAGCAACAAAGAGGGTTAGGGGACTGGAGGCTAAAACTAGAAGAACAGCTGCAGAGAGTGAGGACATCTGGCGTAACCCAGAGAAGGACGAGGGGTGACATGATAGCATCTGTCACAGAGAAGAGGGGTTCAGCTTCTTTCCCAAAGCATCTGAGGACAGATGGAAAGTTACCAATGAGAGATCCAAGCAGAGCTAAGGAGAAATTCCCTGAGAGGGAGAATGGCTGAAGAGTGGAAAGGCTGGCCTCTGGAAGTGGTGAGTGCTCCATCGCTGGAGGACTTTAAGAAAGACCGATGACTTCACCTACTTTGGGTAATGAACTGACGCACGGAAACAACCCAGCTCAGAGAGCACCAAGGAGCCCTCAGATTGGACAGGCCTTAGTCCAGAAGGGTCTCGGGCCAGAACAAGCCCCTTCCAACTCTGTTATTGGGTTCTTCTATCCCCAAAGGAAGCCAATGATGGCTGCAGGGACTTTAGCTGCTTCTGGACAAAGAGGAGGGCAAGCCGAGACAAAGCCCTTCCGGCCTGTCTTGTTTGCCTCCTCATGTCGCTCTGGGGTTGAAGAGGGCACACTCCCATTCAGAGGCCGTCCCCCCTCCCCCTTCGCACCAGCTGGCACCTGGTTTTCCCAATAAGTCCCCTTGGCCACCTGCCAAAGGTGGAGTTTAACAGTGGCTTTTTCCTTTGGAAACATAAATAGCCTGAACAGATGGGAGGCAGATGCTAGAAAAGATGGGGAGGGAGCTCCCCCAGCAAGAGAGAAGGAAGAAATGGGACTTCTCTTTGCAAGCTCAGGTTTGCAAATGCTCCAATCCAGATGGGGCTGGAAATCTAGGAGGGACGTCTTCCTCCTTTGGGTAAGCCAGAAATAGTCGTGGGAAAGATTCCTTGTTAGGTCTGCAGTGCTGGGCATCTAAACCTTCCCTACCTCCATTTTCCCCAGTTCAAACTACCCCCTTGATGCTGCTGGCCTTAAGAGGCAAACCGAGGTGTTGGGTTGTTCCTGCCTCACTTGCTGTATAAGAGGCATCGCAGGGCACGGTATCCTTGCCCGTAGCACAAAGAAAGGGCTTGATTTCAAGCGGTCATTCCTGGGCTTTATAACAGACTTTTGAAGATGCACAGAGGGTTCATCAGAGACCCCTTGCTCTCCGTGGCAGCCATTGGGTACATGGCATGTGCCTATCTATCCTGGCTCCCACAGGTCACGTGGTGGGATAGGGGAGGTTGCCTCTGCTCTTACCAGGGCAACCTTCCCGGGGTATGAACTTAATGACCCCCCAAAGGAAGGGTACCAAGGAATCAGGTGTGTGAGGAAAATAGTGCTCCTTCCTTTAGCTCAGGGATGGTGCATGGAGATATTTTCTCTTGGCATATTTCCATGCTGTGGTTTGAGGGAACAACTGGAAGCACATAAAGGGGCCGGCTGAGCATAGGAGGGCTCTGATATGACTTCCCCGCAAAGCCCTTGGAAAGCAAGCATACTTCCTGCCCACCCAGAGACTCATGTGCTGGGAAGATGCTCCAGGATCCCTGCCGTGGGCCCTGACCTTAGGCAAGGATGCCCGAGACCCTGCACTCTGGGTGGTCATGGTCAGCACAGTGGTAATGCCCAGCCCCACCCGGGCTGGTGCAGCATCCATGTTGATCCAAAAGGAGACCCAGGAAAGGATGACAATCAGCAAGCTTGGGATGTACATCTGGATCAGATAGTAGCCCATCTGCCTCTCCAGGTGGAACTTCACTTCGATGCAGGTGAACTGCCCTGGAGGGAAGGAGAGAAAGGGGTGAGCCACAGCAGAGCCTGTCACCTGTGGACCCGTTTTCCAGAAGGGCATCTTGAAAAGCAGAGGAGAGACTCCAATGGGGGGGGGTGATGATGGAGTGGTGCTAAGGGTGGGACGGCTGATGCATCAAAGCAACGAACTCTCTGGCAGAGCTGCTGGGGAAGTTATTGCGGCTTTTGAGGGAGAGAAGGTAATGGATATGATCCAGGATGGGGGGCGGGGGGTGGGCAAGGGAAGAGGATACCTAATTCTGTCCAAGCCATGATAGCAGGTGGAGATGGTCAGAAGCGAAGGGTGGGAGTAGCAGGGTTGCTGGGTAAGACCTGCTTCATTCTCCAGCTCGCCGGGCTCCTCCCTGAAGCCAGGGAATTGGGTCTGGGGGGCTCCAGTTGCTGTTACAGGAGGCCAGGTGAGGATGCAACAGGCCACCTGTCTCTGCAATCTGGCTGTATCTTATCAACTGCCCCGCTGGGACTTGAGTTTGGCCCAGACCACCATCCCAGGATAGGGTGAGGCGGCGATGGTCCTCCACGAGGCCTAAAGGCCTCGGGGCAGATAATGGAGTGAGACCCTCTGACCCCAGGTGGCCTGACTTTGTTTCAATGGGCCTGTAAAAGCTAGTTCTCTGCCCAAGCCTTGGACTTCATATAGGGTGTTTGGTTTGTCACAAGCTGTTTTCCACTTGTGTGTGTGTGTGTGTTTCCTTTTTGCCCTCTTTGTATCATATTGTTTTATACTGTATGCTTGCTTAGAGTTGTGATAGAGTCAGACAGCGAGTGAGTGAGTGAGTGAGTGAGTGAGTGAGTGAGTGGATGGATGGATGGAGGAAGGGCAGTGCCATAGTAGTTTTTGAGGCGGTCTGCCAACGGGGCCTCTTTAGCTCTAGGAGAAGCGCTGAGCCTCTGGTGAGGCAGATCTGGTCACCTGTGTTGTAGGATTTGGTGCAATAGCCCAGTTCTTTCTCATCCCGCAGAATAAACTGAGGGAGTGTTAAGCCTTCAGCCACCTGCACAGCCTCCTGCTCCTTCTCCCACTCAAAGATCAGGTCATTCATGGTGTAACCAACTGCAAGGCAAGCAGAGACAGGCAGCACAAGGAACCTGGAGGATGGGCCAGGGCAGAGCCAAATCTCTTGCCTCCCTCTCCACCTTCCCTTGCTCCTCCAGTGTACAGGGACGATGTCCACCTGGTGGTCCATTGCTCAGCTTGTGTGACGTGCCCAGGTACCGCGGCTTCCAACTCCCTCTTTCTATTGGGCCTTCCAGACCCCTCCTTACTAAACCATCTGGAACTTTTTGGCTACCCCCATGTAGCCGTGGCTTCAGTCCAGGTTCCGAGTCTGTGCCATGCCTTGAATTATACACTGATCACCCTACAGAATGATTAAGCCACAACAATCATCCAAGATTACTGTTAATGAAGCTCAGCATATTGTGCAAATCCAACCACTATACTTAATCATACTGTGTAAACCAGTCTACTACTCATTGTACCTATAACTAATTCCCATTGCCCATCAAGTGAGCAGGAACTGTGGCTCTTAGGTACAGCACCAAGGACTCTGTTGAGGCCAGAGTTAAATAAAAGTACCTACAGCTCTCCAGCTGCATGGTGCATATCTGAGTGTCCATAGGGAAGTTCTTGAGGTCCATGGGGCAGGAAAGGATAAGAGTCAGCCTGTAGGGAAGAGAAAGGAGAGAGTCAAACAGAACCAGGCTGAACCAGATTTGGTGGTTAAGCTGAGCAAGATGATGTTGAAGCCGATACCTAATGCTATACAGCACACCCCCGTTTCTGAAAATGCGCAGGAGCTTGTTGTCTGTAGTGACCTCATGGAAGTTGGCCCCCTTCTCATTGGCAAAGAAGAGGTCCGGCTTCCAGATGGAGTCCAGCATGGAGGGGTCCAAATCGAGAGAGTTGTCAGGGTATTCCCAATAAGTCAGGCGGGGGTCATTCCAGTGCTGCCGCAGAAAGACATTGACCCGATAATCCTGGAAGAGCCAAGAGAAGCAGACATGGGGGGAGGCAAGGGGAGAGAAGGCAGCCTCTTGGCAGCTGGGACAAGGACTGCGGCCAAGGAGAGGTGCCTGGCAGAGGGGGCCGAGAGGGGCTTAGACCGGGGTCGGGGGGGAGTTGCAAGGTGCGGAAGTGGGCCCAGCACAGGGCTGTTCTTTGGCTCTCCGGTTGCTCTTGCTCCTCAGGCCCTCGCTTGCACCCCCGGGCCGCCAGTTGCTATCCCGGAACAGTCCTCCGAGGTCAGAGTAATCAGGGAGAGTTGGCGCCTGTCAACTGGGCCCCTCCCAAAGCGGAAGCTTCCAGAGGCCCAAGAGGTTGCGGTGGGTTAGGCTGGGTCCAGAAGGGTGGGCAGGCTAAGCCTTACCATGGTCGTTTCTGTGACTGAACCGAAGCTGTTGATGAAGATGTTGCATGTCACATTGACGGGCGGGCCTGTGAGGAAAGGAAATGAGGACTCTGGCTGGCATGTGATAAAGCTATGGAAGTCTGAGGATGGGTGCCAATCAGACAAGAACGGAAGAGCCCTTTGGCTGGATCAGGCCAGGGACCGTCAGGCCAGGGGAGAAGCAAATGGCTTTTCTAAGCAGAGGACATTCCCCACCCCTGCAGTTGTAGTCTCCACTCCCCAGCCCAGACTGGACACGGAGTCTTCAAAAGCAAGAGCTTCCAGCAGAGCAGCCCTGTCCTGCATGGGTCACCCAGTCTCTTCCAACAGCCACCTGTGAATTTATCCCCTGTATGAAGTCAGGTGCCATCACCCCATTTTGTGGGAATAAATTTCACAGCTCAACGACGTATTGAAGGAACAAAGGCTCCCTTTTGCTCTGTTCCCAGTCAGCTTTAAAAGGTGTGTGTGTGTGTGGGGGGTTCCCCCTAATTTTCAGAGATGAAGAAAACAGATTTCTCTCTGTCCAATTTCAGCATGTCATCCCTGTTTCCTACACCCTGATTACCTTTCCCCTCAGTTGCCTTTTTTATGTGATTCTCTTGAGGTGGAGAATCCCTAAAACCACCTGAGAGTAAATCAGACTAGTGGTCTTCTGAATGCAGAGACTCCTGCCCATCCTAAGCCCGTCACATCAACATCCTAAGGTCCATGTCTCCTCAAGATCTCAGGCACTCAGGCCCGCAGCAACTCCCTGGCACCTTCCTTCCGGGTGAATCAACAAGAACAGAGCAGGCAGTTGACCCACAACCACACCATGAAGCCCAACTACCTTCTCAGCCACACCCAGCGTCCTTGCCAATTGATCCCCAGGGGGAGGAGGGGTGCAGTGACCTCTCTTCTAGTCCTGGGTCATCGTTGTGCTTTCAGAGCACCTTGTTTAGCCCTGAAGGAAAACATGAAGGTGGCCCAAAGCGCTTTGAACCAGCTTGTCTTACAGCGGCTCATACGTTACCTTTGAAGTTGGGCCTAATGCGAGCATCATAACCGGACGTTCGGCCCACCAGCTTGTCTAGGAAATCGGAGGGAGACATCGGTGGTGTGAGGCTCTGCAGGGCCGATTTGACTTCTTTCCCTGCCACGAATCTGGGGGTGGTGGGAGGAGAATAGAGCAGGTGTCAGGCTGGCAGTTGTTCCACCTGCACACACCTTCCTCATGGGACACACACTAAGCAGAAGGCCACGTGTGACCTGGTTAATGTATCTTAGAGAGTCGTGCAACTCTAGAACTGTAAGTTTCTCCCAGCTGGGGTTGCCTTCTCCTTCTGCAGCACAAGGAGGGATTTTGGTTTTCACTAGAGACCACCCGCTAGGAATGACCCCACGCAGATCCAGATGGGGAGCAGGTAGATACATCACCATCACCCCCGAGCTGTGGGTTTGGGGTCATAAAGACTGCCATGGGCACCACCTTTGATTGTGGAGTCATTTGACCTGAGCAGACCCAACAACAAGCAGGTGAGGAGGGCTTCGACCACAGGGCCCAGCATCTGCGTGGCATGGAAACACTCGGTTTGGCCTTCAGGGAGAAACAGCTGCAAGATTCCCTCTCAAGAAGTTGGCCCAGAATCCAGAGGGCAGAGCTTGGCTAGTCAAAATGCTTCAACCAAACTGCCACTCAACAGACTGCTGAAACCAATCAAGACTGCCAGTGAAATTGCATCCACATTCTTCTGTTGCCCCAAGAGCTGCAGTCCCAACACTCTTCGGCCATTCCACAAGATCCAGGAAAAGCTCGCCTCAGTGGAGCTCTTCACAGCCCAAAGGGCCCCCTTTTCCTATGGGGTTGCAGGGACGTCTTCCTCCACCCTGTTGTCCAGGCAAAGGAGCACCTCAAGGCTCCCACAGGCCCAGTTTACACCCAAATCTATCCTCGGCCTCTGAGATGAAGGAAGTGCACGTGGCCATCCCCCCCACCCATACCTCCATAAATTCTTATTTGGGGGTTTTCCAGCAATTTCAGGAGGCCTAAGACATGTCTTCTAAGGCTAACCTGCTCCCACTTTGCAATCCTGGACAATTTACTTTAACCTCTGAAAAGAAAATGTTGCCTGTTAAAATACAAAGAAGACCAGAGAAACAATTGGAAAGTTTTCCAATCACAAGAGCAGCCCTGGAAGGAGGAGCAAAGACTGTCTGGAAACTCTGAGGGGAACCAGAAGCACAAAAGTCATAGATCTTCCCAGAGCCAAGCAAACCCAGCTGGGTCCGAGTCCAGGTGGCCCACAGAAGGTGGGTGCCGCTGGAGCTTGTGTGGGCAGCGCTTCAGGCCTTGGGGGCCAAACTGTGGCGCCCATTCATCAATTCACCCTGGAAAGAGGCTCACGCGAACCGCGCACAGCCTGTTTCATCCCCGGAGACTTTCTGAAGAAAAGCAGGAAAGCGACTTATGAGCAAAGGCCACCAGCATTCACGGCCAGTCGCGAAGCCGGGCGGGGAGGGGGAAGGTGCCCCCGCGGCGAGGAAGAGCTGCTTCCGACCTAGGTCGTGCAGGCTCCCCTTTCGGAGCGGCCCCTTCGCCTCGGGAAACTCTGCTGCGCTGCTGCTGCGGGGCAGCTGCAGAGGGAGTGGGACCCCGTCGCGCGCGGGCTTTCCCGGCGGCTACATCGGAGCTTCTCGGCTGCTCGGGGAAAGAACGGCGAGGGCTTGGGCGAGGAGGAGACCTAACCGGTCCCAGCCTCAGGCAGGAAACGCCCGCGCCCCACGTGCGGCATCTCAGCCGGGCCTCCAAGAAGCCAGGCCCCGGGCCGGGATCGACCCCCGTCTCCACTCACCCGAGGAGAGCGCCCTGCAGGAGCAGGAGTGGCCCTCTCGTCCCGTGGGCCCCGGCCATCATCATGAGGCCGAAGGGGCGGAGGCCGGAATCCGGGAGGTCGCGGGGCTCTCCAGTCCGGGGAGACGAGCGGGGATGTCCCGCTGCTATTCTTTCGGGCAGGATTGGGCGGCGGCGGCGGCGGCAGCAACAGTGCCGAACCGAGGCGTCCGGACTTCGGCCAAGTCCGCCTCGCCGGAGCCCGAGACGCTTGGCTCACTTCTCCCCGCCTCCAGCGGGGAGGGCGCTGCCCACCCACGCGAAGGACAGCCCCGACGGTCGACGCTCGGCTGCAGTTGGCAGCCTCCTTCCGGGAGCCAACTTCTGGCTGCTTTGCGGGCGCTCAGCCTCGACGGCGCCTACGGCCAGCGAAGGAGCGGGGCATGTCCGGAGCGCCCCTTCTTGCCCGGCCCGAAGGGGATTAAGGCCAAGGCTTCCTGAAGCCACCCGCAGTTGGGCGCCCGCCTCCTTTCCGTCCTCGGGTGCTGCGTGCTGGAAGACAAGGAAGGCGCCTTTGCCGCTGGCTGGCGGCAACCCAGCGGGGCTGCTGCGAACCTCTTGCTTCCCCTCCCAGGACGAGCGCGGGACTTCTGGGCTCTCGCCTGACGAAGGGACCCAAGCGTCCCCCGCGGAGCGGATGGAAGGACTCTCACTAGACCGGGCTGGAAGGCTTTTCCTCCCTCTCCAGAAGCTTTCCACCCGCTTCTTCTGACCTGGTGGTGGACGGACCGTCCGAGCAGTGAGCGGGCTTCCTTGTCACAGCCCAAAGTGAGTCCAGAACTTCCTTCTAGACTAGACAGGCCACTTTCTGATGTAGTGCTGTGTTCACACATTACTCATTGGTTCCTTCAGATTGTATACTGTTCAGCTGAAAGTCAACTATCTGTAATTAAAACAAAAAGAATTAGTAACATATAAAGCTGGAAGACTCTGCCTTGTCACTCTTGGGGAATAAAATTTTCAGACCTTTCTGCTTCCAGACTCTTAATAGCACGACCTATTCCAGATATCTGAAGGAGTTGATTTTCAGCCTGTTTAGTTTTGGGATGGCTTAGCCATTTGCATGGGTGGGCCAGTGCTTTGGCGGATTAAAATTATTGTGCCAAGAACACTGCCTAATTCTGCATGCTGTAAAGGTCTTGTGATGCAGCCAATGTGTGAAGGTGTAACAGCCTTTCTAAACTGTGGAGAGAGAAGTGAACCAGATCCACCCCTGGAGAGGAAGTTAAGTGCAAGTCCACTTTCCACGGGAACTGGGACTCTTGAGTTAACAGCCCCATCCCTGCTTAAGGTCTGCAGAAATGCCTTTAGCAAAAGCCAAGGAAGGACAAACTTGCCCATCCTGCTCCGTAGGCAGAAGGTGACTGGGCCTTTGGGAACGGTTAGGGCTGGAATGGTAAAAAGCACAGCTATCTACTTGGAATTCAAAATTCTGGCCACCCCCTACTCATCTTCCAGTTCTCCAGGGAGGGAAGAAGTCACAAGAGAAAATCACTCCCAAACCACAGGGGACTCTGAAGAGAGACAGGAGCATTTGCAGCAGTTCAGGTGAATTCCAAAAAAGATTGCAGTGCTGTTTGTTCCCACTGCAAGGCTAAAATTAGCAGGTGACAGCAAGACAATCATTTGTCACTTGGGAGGTGGACCAGCAACTCCAGCTCAAGGTGACAATGCCAATGGGCCACATGCAGTTCTGGCCCCTCTCTGCCCTTCCAGCCTTGCAGTTTAGTAGAAGAAATGCTTAAAGCCGGGCAAAGAGAAGTGGACAAGGGTCCACTGACCCCTGCCCTGCTCTGCCCTTGCTCCTTGGCTTGCTCTGCCCTGCCCAGCCAGCCTGGGGAACAGCAACAGCAGCCACTTCTCTTGGGCTGCACCTCGTGGTTGAAAAATGGGCCAAAGAAGGCATGAAAACACCCCTCTCCTCCAGCCACGAGGATGTATGGGGTGCACCTGCTAGCCCTGCACACTCTCAGGCCCTTTGAGGGCTTCGGGGAGACTCCCGCATCCTTTGGCAAGTGCAAAGTTCTGGAAGGTGAAAGCTTCTGGTGAAAGCGCCACTTGCCTTGGGCTTCCAGCACCTTTGTTTCACTGAAAAGGAAGTTATCACACTGAAGAAAGTTGGGTTAAAAATGCTCAGAATTGGGATTTCTAAGAAAGGCTTCCTTATGCATTATGGCTATCTAGAGATGAAATCCCTATGAATGGTCTTGGGATGATCAAATAACTCTTAAGCAGCCATTTTGTCTGACAATGTTCAGCTCTCGTGTCCCACTTGTCTTGGGGATTGGAATCCTCGGGTTCCTTAGGTTTCTCTGCCCAAAGGGGCTGCTCTAGGAAAGGGGAGGGAGTGCCCCGGTGCTTAATTATTGCCCCCCCCCAATAGCCCTAGCAGTAGGAAGAGGGTGGAGCCTTGGCATGGGGGAGACAGAGATGCTCTGCCCATGTGCGAAGGCTCCCACCGATTCCTTCCTGCTGGCCAATGGTGGGGGGGATGGGGCACAACCCCATAGAGGCCACCATGGGTGCCATCTGAGCAGGACAAGGGCCGTCCAGTTTGCCACAAGGCAGCCAAAGACAACAGCGGCCCTGGGTAACCAGCACATGCTGGGCCTGCTCCTTGCTCAGCCCTGCCCCCAGACTGCGTGCCTGGACCCATGAGCAGAGTCTGGGCCAGCGCCATAAGCCACCACGGCTGGGAGAAGGAGCTGTTTGACCCAGGAAGGCAGCTGTGAAGGGTTGGCTCCAAAGCGTTTGCCTCCTCCTGGTGAACAATCCTTCCACAGCAGAGACCTCTGCCTGCACCCCCGTTTCCATTCGAAAGGGTGGCTGGCATTCAGTCACCAGTGGGCCTGTGGCTGCCCTGACCCCAGAGGAGGATCGTGTTCCTTCTTAGAGCAAGCCCCCTCGGGGAGTCTGCTGGGTTGCAAAGGCCATTGTCTCAGGACTCTTGGACCACTGCCAGCTGCTCCTTGCCTCTTCCTCAGCTTGCTGGCACCACATTGGTCCTGGGTTTACAAGCACAACCCAGGCAGCCTACACGGGGCTCTGCTGATGAGGAAGCACTTGGAGCATGAAAAGTCTGCTAAACTTTCCCAGCCTGAGGAGGGAGTCACACACCTGGCGTTGCATTTCGGCAAGATTGCCTGAAGAACAGCACCTGCTGCTTGGAGCTCAACACCGTCCAAATGGTGCTCTGGCCCGTGAGGAGAGGTCTTCAAAGCCCCACTGAGTGTCTGTGACTCTCCAAAAGGGGCTTTTTCAAGAGGCAACTGGACTTTGTTTTTCCTTGAAGATGTTCCTCTTCTCTTCTCAGAACTGAAGAAGCTTCTTGGAAGAGAAGTGAAATGTCTTCAAGGAAAAACAAAGAAAGTCCAGTTGCCTCTTGAAAAAGCCCCTTTGGGCCTTAAAATCCCAGCTGAGAGAGGCGATCTTGGCCAACATCCGGACTCTTTTGCTCTGCCCTCCGTTTGGAGCTAAAAATATTCAGGTGGCTTCAGTGGGAATTGCCTGTAGGCTCCAATGAGCCAGAAACAGTCAAATGGGGCCTGAGCCAAGTGGGAAGCGGCTGCACTCAAAAGACATGAAGCTGCGGGTGCTTCTGCCTGTGTGGAACTTGGCCGGGGCTCCTCTGCCTCTTCCATCCCACCCCATCGCCTCTCCTGGCTGCCCTAGAGAGATGGGATGGACCCAGGGCCTCTTCACTGAAGGGAGGAAAGGAAGCTGGTCGAGAAGGAGGGCCTGATGCCTGCCTGTCTGGAGGCTCCCCTAAGCATCTCCCTTGGGCCTCAGCTGCATCCTGCCTTCCTGTCCCAAAGCGGCTTTTTTCAAGGGGCAACTGGACTTTCTGGTTTTTCTTTGAAGATACTTTGCTTCTCATCCAAGAAACTCCTTCAGCTCTGACTGGGTGGTGGGGAATGGAAGAGCTGAAGAAGCTTCTTGGATGAGAAGTGAAATGTCTTCAAGGAAAAACAGAAAGTCCAGTTGCCGCTTGAAAAAAGCCCCTTTGGGACAACCCACAGCTGGATGGCTGAGAATCCCCCTAGGGGATTTGCCCCAATCAAGTGCAGCCCGGCTCTGTACAGGGAGCAGGTCAGCCCATTCGGGCTCCTCTCCCGTCCAGGCAGATGTGACCTGACTTGGCCTTCTGGCATCTTCTGCCTTGGGGTTTTCTCACTTGGGCAGGAGTCCAGGTAAGGCAGGGTAACAGCAAAGCCATGAGAGAGAAAGCTGGGGAACTGAAGGAGGCAGCCAACCTAGTGGGAGAAGCCAAAGGGGTGTTTGGAAAGGCCTGCCTGTGCGACCGCCAGTCTCCCTGGGCCACAACCTCTGGCCAAGAGGACATTGTCCAGAGGAGAAAGGGGGCTCTTTGACCACCAAGAGCCGCCTTCTCCCGTTCTGCTGACTGCCAGAGGATTCTGCTGCATCTCCACTTTTCCAGGCTGAACTTTCCAAGCTTCAGAGCTCCAAAGGAGGCTGGCTGGCTGATTGCTAGAGGAATCTTCCTGATTTGCCACCCTTGGGATTCAAGGACCTCCGTGTCCTCCCTTCGGGCTGAGTCCTCTCATTGGCTACTGACCAGCTGGGGTCCCTCCAGGGCAGACCCCTCGGGGCCTGAGGTTGCCCCTGCCCTGATTGCACAGGCACCAACCGATCAGGGCCAGGGAGCTCCCCTCCTGGCTTGAGTTTCTGCTGGCTCTTGGACCGAGGAGTGGGCTAGCTCCCTTCAGGTCTCAGGACGGAGGGCTGGGACTAGAGAGAGCTTTCCATTCCTCCCTGTGTTGGGGGGGGGGGGGGGGGGGGCGGGCGGGGGGGGGACCCCCCCGCCCGGGGGGGGTGGGGGGGGGGGGGGGGGTGGCCTGGCAGCAGAGAGATTCTCTCAGATGCCAGCAGTGCAAATGAGCCTGGAGAAGCCTCCAGAACACTGGCCAGAAGCAGCCGTGGGGCTGACTGGGCCCTTGGGGGGCTCATAGAGGCTTAGAGGCTTTGCATAGAGACTTGGGGGGGGTGGCAACCGGTCTCCCTTTAACATTCTGGACTCC